AAAAAAATACTTAGAGATAAATCTAACAAAATGTGGGCAAGACCTCTATGCTGAAAACTACAAAACGTTGCTGAGAGAAATTCAAGATTTTTAAAAAACTCTTTAAGAAGTTTACATTCCAGTGAAGGGACAGGCAATAAATAAGAAAAATAAGTAAATTTATGTAAGTAAAATACATATTATCCTAGAATATGACTACGCCTAAGGAAATAAAGAAGGGGGCGATGAAAAATTAGAGGCCAGGCTATTAAACTTTCTAGATATCACAGACCTTGAAGAACATGGAAGGCGTCCCTTAGATGTTGACTTTTGAGAAAAAAGCTGAGCAGAAAGTCAAAAATCCAGAGCATTTTGGACTGTGAGACTGCGTGTGCCTGGCCTGCTCTGAGAAGTGCGGACCCTGGTGTGGCTGGGGTAAAGGAGGTTGGCGGGCGGTCCTGGGAGATTGGGGGGCGGTCCTGGGAGATGGGGACAGAGCTCATGGGTCCAGGCAGCGGGCGCTTGCTATCCCTGGCCGTGAATGTGATGGGAAGCTGTGGGGAGGATGTGCGGGGAGCTTTGAGCACAAGCGATTGATGCTTTATATTTAAAAGGCGGCCCTGTCCCCTGTGACTAGGAGTCACTGCAGCGAGGCCGAGACAGAGGCTGGGGAAGGGGCTGGGATGTTTTTGCAATAGCCCAGGAGAAAATGGCCCTGCCCGGGACCAGGGTGGTGGCGGCAGGCAGAAGAGGGTTTGAAGGTGGACCAGCTGTGTCATCTGCTGGGTGTGGAAGACGGACCTCCCTGGCCAGAGTCCGAACCCCAGAAATGCTGTGAAAAGCAACTTGACAATATCTATTTCAAGTTTTTAAGATCATGTAAGTCACCGATCCCAGCCTTAGGTATCTATCTTGTAAAAAAATACACGCACGCACACGCACACACACGCATGCACACACACGCACACACACCAGCAAAGACCCTCGGGCAGAAGACGGACCTCCCTGGCCAGAGTCCGAACCCCAGAAACGCTGTGAAAAGCAACTTGACAATATCTATTTCAAGTTTTTAAGATCATGTAAGTCACCGATCCCAGCCTTAGGTATCTATCTTGTAAAAAAATACACGCACGCACACGCACACACACGCATGCACACACATGCACACGCACCAGCAAAGACCCTCGGGCGATACACATACACACATGCGTGCACAGGCACGCACACGCATGCACACACACGCACACGCACCAGCAAAGACCCTCGGGCGATACACATACACCTACACACACATATACACACACACGCGCACACACATGCACCAGCAAAGACCCACAGGCAGAGATCGTTATTACGACGCCAGGCTCGGTACCGGCAGATGGGACACACGTCACCGTCAGCCCTCGTCAGCACAGCTTCTGTGTCCGCCAACTTGCCGCTGAGCGAGAAATGACGCGAGACACCACAGTCATACGCACGGAGCTTTTGCGGCCACTCTGGGACATGTGTAGAGTGGCAAGAGGTGTGAGCGATCCACTGCCTTCTGGTGTCATTAAACAGAGTCATCCATAAGACAGGTTATATATCGAAGGGTCGACAAAAAATACTGTGCCCAGGGACTCACAGGGACCTCACCCTGGATTTGCCCTGGGAAACGCACGGTTCGGTGTTCGCTGATGCGGCGTGCATGCAGGCTTTCTGGAACATGACTCCTGTGAGTAACAGGGACCACTGTAGCTGTCCCCGAGTAAGAACCGAGCGAGTAAAGTCAGGTTTACCTATGCCCCAGAGTGTCGTGCAGCCTTTAAACGTCACCCACTCAGCCTAAACCTGCTGCTTTAGAGTCGTTCCCTTAAGTCACCGCCGCATGAGACAGGAGGGGTGTAGTGTGACGTGGACGCGTGCAGTGTGACCTAACGTGGCCACACATCTGCGTGTTTGCACCTGGCGGTCCGCGCATTTACAACGAGTGGCACACGCCAGGTTGACGGCAGAGGGCTCTTGCGAGTGGGCGTGGGGGGTGTGCAACCGAGAAGGGGGCGTAATGTCAAGGGAAAGGTAGCATTTCTGATGACTTTGTTTATGCAAAATCACCTGTGTAATCACACTTGAAGGGAAAAATATGATAGTTCCCTGTACACTGACTTGCGGATCCGTGTCTGTGACGGCAAAGAAGCAAGTTGCAAAATAATGTGCAGAATTATATTTTAGGGACACGTCAGCTTAACATAGCACCTAAGCATGAGAATGAGCAAAGGGACACGTGTTTAAAGCCATGGAAACGTTGAGAGTCTTGTGGGAAAAGTTGTTTTTGTGTTGATTTCTACTGATTTGTTTCGGTAGATACGATGAGTATTGTTGACATTTGAAAAAAAAATACAAAAGAGCGTGAAAAAGCATCAATAACTATTATTCAGTTAACAATTTCACAAGGGCACAATTTCACAAGATTCTGAAATATGTTATATGTAATACTCTAAAATTCTTTTTTTGTTTTATTTTGTTTTTTTCATTTTAGGAATCATTAAGAGCCATCAGATATGAAATATCTCCGGATAAAGAATATGCCCTTTTTTCATATAATGTGGAACCCGTGAGTAATACTCTTTTCTGTCTATAAAAGAATCGTTTCTCTATCCTGATACCTTAGGAAGTATTTGTCTGAATTTTCATTCTTAGTGCTCTTTGAATCCTGAGCTAGTGAGTCCCTCTTAATGCCACACTGCCACCTAGGAGAGAGGAAAGGTATAAAAATCCCTTTGGCAAGAAAAAAGGAAAATTGCTCCCGTTAGGGGCTGTTTTATAGGATTTTCTTGGGGAGACGGTAAGAAGTTTTTTTTTATAGAGATTTATCTTGCCCGTTTGTGCAATTATTTTTCTTGCAATATTCTCAATCACATCATAAATTTTCTCCCAAGAACAAAAAAGCACCTGGCAGGTTTCTCCCTAAACTAAAATAAAATGTCAGTTATCTCTCAGCCATCATAGGATTCTAGAGACAAGTTGAACTGTCACTTTCATCATAGAAAAATCCCTGTTTTTAGCATTTCACATATGAGCCTCCCACAAAACGTCACCAGAATTTTCCATAACGTTTCATCCTGGGCTTTAGTGGCAGTCTAAAACTGGGTCTTTCTTTCTTTTTCTTTTTTTTTCTTTTAACATGCTCATATTTTAAAATTAATTTGAGCTCTTTAATTTTAAACGAGGCAGAAGGTGAGGTTTATTTAAGTGCAGCAGATGTTCAGCTTATTACCAACTTTAGAAATGTGTGTTTCTGGAACCTAATTTTCTGGCAAATAAAATGTAGAATTCCGCCTCCTTCCTGGTCCTTCTTCCTAGTCCTCCTGAGACTGTTCTAAGAGGAGCTTCCGAAGCATCTGTGAGATGCACGGGTACCTGCAGCTCAGGTCTGGGTGGCACCTGGGCGGGTCTGATAGGCTCTTCCCCTGGCAGGGTAGAACTCTGCAAAACTCTGTCTTCAGCTTTCCATTTTCTGTGGGTTTTTTTGTTTTTAACGTCCATTATATAAAAGTTCTCATTTCCTCCATTTCCTCCATCTTGGGCGCAGCAAGCTAGCCTTGTCTGCTCGGTCGGGAGGAGTTGATGCACTTGACACAGTCTCGGGACTCTGCCCTGCCCCTCCCCACCTCTCTGCAAGCGCAGGGACCTCATGGACCTCATCGTGGAGGAGTTGAGCTCTTCTCGTCACCCTTGGAAACTGCCAAAAATATAGCATCCACACCTGGACGAGAGCAAACTCGGCAGATATTTAAAGGATTTTCACAGGGATGGGCCGATGGCTTTGCTGGGTCGCTTGGGGGACACGGCCAACACTTGGGTGAGAAAAGCACACGAAGACCTTTTTCAGGTCCTCTTGCCCACGAATCTTTCCGTAGTGGGAGCATCCCAACGGTGGGAACGGTGGCAGCGAGCTTCCTGGTCCCAGAAGCCTTCACGTGCAGGTTCTCTTTGATCTCCGGGGCCTTGGGGAGAGGATTCTTGGGTCTCGTGGGGACACAGCGGCCTGAGCTGTGCCTGTCGCCTCCGTGTGTGGGAGAATCCCCTCCGGCTCCCCTCCAGTTTCCCCGCGCTTCTTTTGAAAGGGTCCCCTGGGACCTCATTATGGCTGATAACTGTTCGGGTAAAGAATATTTTGCCAAATGTGGGTGTTCGCCATGCGGGATGTTGGCTGTAAATATGAGCCTTTCTCACTCGGCAGCATCTGTTGGCCTTTGGGGTAGCAATGTTCAGTTTTTCTCAACTGAGGGAAAACGTAAGAAATTTGGAGTCGATTTAGCAAACTATAAGACGACGAAAATATTGAAAATGTGTGCCGTGTAAAAACATCTATAAAAATGGATCCTTTTAACTTGAGTCAAGAAGTAACCCTTCCTAGTTTTCAAGTATTGAGCAGTTATACATCCAGCTCTCCGAGCGAGAATTCTGTTCTTCTGGAGAAAATACTTCTGGGGAAGAGTGTGGGGTGGTGCAGGAGAACTTGGGGTTCGATATCAGGACGAACCTCCTAACTGGGTGAGATGCAGGTATTTTCAGAAAAGAGGGTCGGTATCAGGAGAAGCTCCTAGGTCTGTAACTCCGGAGGAAGCAGAATAGGACTTCCTATTCTGTCTTTAATGTCACTATAATAACCCCTGGGTATAAAAACAATTTTTGAGAACAACTCTAGGCAAAGTTAAATAAGTTGTGGGTTTTTTGTTGTTTTGTTTTTTTCACTGCAGGATTTTTTGGAGTTTTTTATATTCTCCTGAGGATTGTACAGTGTTTCCCAAATGGGTATTAAAATACGGGATTCATCAGGTGGCGGCATGAGGAAACTAGGTGTTTTTTTCCTTTGGATTCACGCTTATCACACTCTTATCTGTGTGTTTCGAAGGCAGCTAGGGTATCATGTTTATACGAACTATCTCAACTTTTCATTACAAAGGCCATAAAATATATTTTCCTATAAACCAATAGTCCAATGACTAGGCATGTCTCATTAAGTAGAGTCAGTTTTCATTTGCAATAAAGTTTTAGTGTATCGGGTTACAGTTCCATGCGAAAAAAATCCGACATTCCACACTGCGACAGGAGAATTATGGTCCTTCCAGCCCCCGCTTGCCCAGATTAGTATTTGAATGAAATACTTGCCACTTGCCCAGACTCGGAGAACCCGGGTCCACGTGTTCAGCGGCATCGCTGACCCACGCCATCGCGACCGTCGGCGTCTCATCTGCGAGGGGTCAGTGCGTTCGAGCCACGCCGCTCTGGGGACCAAACGCAACAGCGCGTTCCAAGTACTCAACACGGCACCCGGCAAACGGTCGATGCTCCGATAACCTTCGTCCGCGTGTCTCTCCAAAATTCCTCTCCGAGGCCTGGGTGCGGGGCTCACTCCCCAGGAGGACGCGGAGCTTGTGCTACATCCCCATAGCAACAACTCCTCTTACTCTTTCATTCAAATACTAATCTGTGCAAAAGAGAGATGCTCCCTTCCTCACGGGGCTTGCGGTTTACTCAAGTGAGCGTGCAAACTGCGTCTGGCAGAGGAGGTTCGTGAGTGTGACGCCTCGCTGGGTGCATCTGGGAAGGCTTCCAGGAGGAGGTGAAACGTCGGCCGGAATCTGACCGTGCCCTCATGGCAGGCGGATGCGCGGCGAGTAGGAAGCATGGCGGGGTCCCGTGTGGCTGGAGAGAAGAGACAGGTCGCCCAGCCGCCTAGGGCTGCGGAGAGGGCGGGGGGAGCTTGAGCCGCTCATGGGTTTGTTTTGGGAATTGTTGAGTTTCAGGTGACTGTGGGACATTTATCAGGAGTTTACGAGTAAGTCCGGAATGGAAAAAAATCTCCAAAGTGATTACTTAAAGGAAGATGATAAAACCGTGGCTGTGGATGGAGTCACCTGTGCGGACAATTATGTGAAATCTGTGGAAAGGGAAAGCAACGTACGACTGTCGCGCTGTGTTCGAAAGGTTATAAATGAATGACAAAGGGAACAACGGATGAATCTCCCTAGGCGTCCGAAGCGGGGGACCAAGCGGAGCGGAGAAAAGCAGCCGCGTGTTTCATCGTCGAGGGCGGAGAAGTCCTGACGGTGGCTCTCCGATGTCGCTGTCACCATTGAGGGCGGAGAAGTCCTGACGGCGGCTCTCCGATGTCGCTGTCATCATCGAGGGCGGAGAAGTCCTGACAGCGGCTCTCCGATGTCGCTGTCACCATCGAGGGCGGAGAAGTCCTGACGGTGGCTCTCCGATGTCGCTGTCACCTGGCTCCGTGTCCCTCAGTCCCGCCGCCTTCCGGTGACCTGATTCTTCCTTGTGGCTGGAAATACCATCCGCGTGACGTCGAAGTCCTAGTTTATATTTCTATCCTGGACTTTCCCCCGCTCTAAGCTCCGGGGGCTGCCGAGGCGGGTGCGGCATTGGGTTGTCGACTTGTTCTGGCCCCTTTGGGACCATCTGCCCAGCCTTGTGCATCCCAGAGCTCCCTGTCTGCGGCTAAAACAGGGAACACTTGTCCCCCAGCTCTGTCCTTCGTTGGTGAAGGGTGGCCCCACGAGGGTCAGCAACCCCACCCTTCCAGGTCGCGTGTGTCTGAGCACAAGGTGGCTCCACGGCTGTGCCCAGGGCCGGGTGGAGGCCCTGTCCAGCTGCACTGGCGTGAGGTGGGTCACTGCCTGCGTGTCACCGAGGCCCTGGGGAGTGTCTCGGGTAGAGTGGTGCAGGAGGGCGGGATCGGGGAGACAATGAGTAAGCAACAGGTAGGAAGGGAATCTGGGTACAAAGAGTCAGGTGGCATCATGAAGACAGGATGAGTCAAAGGAGAGACTTTGGGTTTAATTACATCCTATTTGCTGTGAGCCGCCCGTCGGGTGGCAATGTTGCATCGTTTCCTGGTTTTCTGACACAAACTGGTTTTCCTTGCCCGTTTTTACGCGGTCAGCCGCTTAGGGAGGACAGAAGTCTTCTTTATCTGCTGTCTACCTGCAGCCCGGGGGACCCTGCCCAGGGCCACCGTGTGCGTTTGCTGCTGAGCAGATGTGTCAATGGCTCTTTCTCCTCTCTGAACCTCTTCACGCTGGATCAAGGTTCAGCGTGGCTTCATGCGGTCTAAGTTCTGGAAATTCCATCCCACGCACAAAAATATAAAATTATATGACAAAAGCGAGAGGTCTTATTTGTAAAATGTCTCAGTAATATTCCATGTTTAGGCTAGAAAGGTGAGATCGTGCTAATTAGCATACCTTTTTTTCTACTAAACTCTTCCAACGTTACGAAATCTATAACTTGGCTAACATCCCCAAATGAGCTGCTTTTAACTACCTCAGCTCTATGTTTCGTCAATGGTCTCAAAAGTACTCATTTTAAAAAGTGCAAAAAATTATCAATTAGATTTGAGAACGAGTAAAGCCAAGAACATTTTGCCAGGCCTCAGGTGCCTGCAGGTCCGTAAATGTTACGTCTGGAATGTAGGAAATAATGAACGATATTCTGTTTTTACTTACGTGGTTCCAGTCTGACAGTTTGCAAAATATGTTTATTTACAGCATCTCATTTCTTCTCAAAAGGCCATTCCTGCCCAAAAGAGCAAAT